CAGAAAAGGCTAAATATCTCTCAAAACTGCAAATCCCAGAATTCCATAACCTTGAGCCAGGGTTAAAGTGGTGTCAAACTGCTTTGATAAATTTCTGCAATGCAGACGCAGCCAAAGTTGATGGTTGCTTGGGCATGGCTTCTTTAACAAATAATTCTGCACAATGAGAGAGAGAGAGAGTATACCTTTGAAGATTTATCTAAAGAAGAACCAAATTCCTTAACTTGGAGGTTATATGTATATGTTGTGTGCCTTCAAATTGTTCCTGACTTGTGGTGATCATGGGGTTTTTTTTTTTGGCACGATTCACTCAGAGGAGGTTTGCCATTGCCTTCCCCTGAGGCTGAGAACGTGTGACTTGTCCAAGTTCACCCAATGGATTTCATGGCAGAGTGGGGAATCAAACCCAGGTAACACTCAAACCATTACACCATGTTGGCTCCTATTCCCATGTACTGCCTATGAAACAATTACAGACTTTTTTTGTTGTTCTTATGTGTCATCAAGTCCTTTCAGACTTATGGCGACTCTAAGGCAACCTTATCATGGGGTTTTCTTGGCATGTTTCTTCAAATGGGGGTTGCCATTACCATCCTCTGAGGCTGAGAGTGTGTGACATGGCCAGGGCACTTACTTGGCCGCAAATTATAGATACCCCAGAATGTATCACCTAGCATATTGGCAGACCTTCACTCCAGCACTTCATTTCCCCCCAACCATCTCATAGGGGGGAGATGGAAATAATTTTTAAAGCAGCATTTAAATCTGGACTATTTTTTAAAAAAGTAAAGTCCAAAACCCACTGCAGAAATAATAAGGTCCAAAACACACTGCAGAAATAATGCTAGGGAACATGGGAGCTGTAGTTTGTTCTGTTTTATAAGTGACAGTTTTCCTGCTAAGTACCTGCATATCATAAGCGTTTGAATTAAAATTACCATATTGAAATTTTTTTGGTGTGCATTGGAAGAGATATACGGTGAGTATATCCAAAACTCTATATGGAAAAGTTGGGGGTCATCTTATACGTCCAGTTGTCTTATACACCGGAAAATACGGTAATGTTTAGATTGTTAGTCTGCAGCTAGGATGTGTTTGAAATTTACATTATAAGGTTTTATAAAGCTCTGTATTAATTTTAGGAATTTTAGACACATATATTTTACTTACATACTGAGACTGAAATAGCCACAGTGGTATATAAGCCATTTCCTCAGTGCATTACTGTACCTTACATTACAGCAGGGCAACCAAAATGGACATTGCCTGATTTGGGGCAGTTCCTTTCTCCCTGCAGCACCTTGACCTAGGTTGTTCTGGGGGATTTCCCATGGAGCCTCAGGAGAGTTGGAGGAGAGAAAAGTTTAGCAGAAGTGGGGGATGAAGAACTCTTCTCTGAATGTGCTTTATGCTTGCTTATGAGTTGATCCAAACCTTTTTCTTCATTGGAATTTTGTTAGGTGATCTTTTTTTAAAGATGCCTCAAGAGTTTCTCAGTTATTGGAATAGATATACTTGTCAGTATTACTTCTCTATTTTGTACCATAGGCAGAAATAACATGGAAAGAATAGATATACATAAGTTCCTACACCACGAAGAAGAGTAGTTCAGCACACTTTTTATCTAAAACTAGCAATCTGTACATGTGAAATGAAACAACCAGGTCAAAAGCCCTTGCATAAGAAATGAAAAATCTCTTGAATGGCCATCTAACTGGAGGGGTTCTTTTCTACCTCCATAATTAAGAGAAGCTTTTGTTTTATGCTGTTCAAGTAAGCTGTAAGAAACTTGTTTTATTAGAAACAAGTTAGAAACTGAAACTTGTTTTATTTCCAGTGATTTTGAAAAAGGAAATATTTCCTGGTCAATGATATACTCCCTCAGGCTATTTTAAAAGGAAGATGTCATTCCAGCATATGTACAAGTTTGTTATTTTCCTGCTTTCATATACCGGAAATGCTGTTTAGGCGCTACTTACTTAATATATTTAATCTTAATCATGTTTCTTGTTTACAGAAAGCAATAGACCTTGCTAGTAAGGCAGCACAAGAAGATAAAGCAGGGAACTTTGAGGAAGCCCTCCGCTTGTATCAAC